TCAAACGTTCAGTAATGATTGAACGTGTAGGAGTGTTTGCGATCCCCAGCAATCTTTGTCATTCTTGTGACTTTCATTCACGAATGATCGTGTAAGGGTGACTTATCGTTTCGTCTTCCACCCAATACTTTGATGAACAAAAATGAAATCAAAATCAATAACAATTAATCAATCAAAAATAAATAAAATTAATAATATAAATGAATAAAATGTGTAAACTAAAATCAATTAAGGAAATAGGTAGTGTTGCCCAAATGCGGTCTTGATGTTGCACTTTGCAAGACTAAGACCAGGACTGCCTGACTGTTGCAAGACCAAGATTGGTGAAAAAAATCGTTTTTGTAAATAAAAATTGAGGCAAAATAGTTACTAATACTTGAAAATTTTAGTTACTATATGTAAAGAATTGGTATAACCAATATATTTTTGCATTTAACTCTTCCAATTTTTCATTCGGGCTTAGTTAAGTTTCCACAATCTTAAAAATTACAGTAATATCTCTATGGTAATAGGCTGATAGATAACTGCGAGACTCTGGCGCAAGACCAAGACTGAGTACACAAGACCAAGACTCGTCTTGATCTCGCATTTGGGCAACACTAGAAGTATGAAAAGTAGACTAGATGGCTAAGTCACGCATAGAACTAGGTATGCAAGTATTTTACCACCTCCTACGCAGTCTTGTCCAAATACAAGACCAAGACGAGACCGAGTCAGTCTTGTTCTTGGTCTTGCGTCCAAAAACCTTGGTCTTGGTCTTGCGCAAGAGTCTTGCAGTTACCTATTAGCCTATTGCTATTTATTAAACATGTTAATTTAGATCTTATAAAAAAGCTAAGGAATAGGTACATTTAGATGTTTTATTGACATGAATTTAATAGAGTCCAACCAAATTAATAGAATTATATTAATAATACATTAAAGGCATTTTCATGAAATATAGTGGTAAACGCTCCCCGCTCCAACTCCGATTATATGGAATGGAGAAGTTGTAGAGTAAAGACAATCTATAGAATGTTGCTGGAGTTGCTCAAAATCGGTCTTTGCAAGACCAAGACCAAGACCGCTTAACTGTTGCAAGAGCAAGACCAGAACTGGTAAAAAAATCGATTTTTTAAAGAAAAATTAAGGCAAAATAGTTATTAATATTCGACAATTTTAGTTACTGTATGTTAATTATTGGTATAACCAATATACTTTTGCATTTAACTCCTTTAATTTTTCATTCGGTCTTAGTTAGGTTTCTATTATATAAAAAATTAAAGTAATATCTCTACAGCAATAAGATAATATGTAACTGTAAGACTCTTGCGCAAGAACAATACCATGACCAAGACAGAGTTTACAAGACCAAATTTCGTCTCGGTCTCACATTTGGGCAACACTAAATGTTATCAATGATACAAATAAAAAATCTGGCGTTAGTCCACTCTACCTAATTTTCTACCTATTTTTACTTTCACTTACCTATATATATTAAATATATAGTTAGGGAAAGTATTGTGATCGTGAAAATTTTCGAATCTCGGATTTCAAGGGAAATACACATTTTGACGTTTCCTGAGTCAAAATAACATTCCCAAGTCCCACAAAATGGTCTCTGTGTGTTTATGTTAACAGTCTAGCTCAAAAACGTCGTAAAGTCGGAATTTTACTGAGGAAATTTTAGGCAACTTGTAACATGCGTCAATGCCGCATGCTACACGCAGTCTTTCCATAGAAGGAACACAAAGTGACAAGAAATATATCTCCTTGCTGCATGCTACAAGTTGACCGTTAAGGCGGAGTTCCATCGAGCCAACACTGAACGACATGTTGCATGATACTTGTTTCCTAGTGTTGCCTATTGTAATCGTACGACTATGTGGCACGAAATTCAATTGATGTCGCATGCGGAATTTGTTGCTCCACATCTCATGCGCTTTTTCGTACACTTGTGTAGCATGCGACAAAAGCGATTCCATTCAGGCAAAGTCAGTTTGGTACATCATTTCATTACAAACTGTCGCGGCAGCTGCATATTTGGTAATCGCTTTTGAATCATAAAAGGAAAAGAAAAACACCACAATATTGGAGAAAAGAGTTATTAATCGATGATCAAGAAATTCGGTATAATTTAATATTTTACGCTTGAAGAGTAGTGGAAAATTCATTTCAGCTCGAGAGTCTAAGAAAAAAAAATCGGCATTATTGATTAAAACTTTAAAAGAAAAAATATTTATAACATTTATATTTAAAAATTAAGTCTGCCAGTTGGATCTTGCTACCTGTAAAAATGGCGGCTGATGTAAAGAATATATTAGACCAGTTATTTGAGGATCGAAACGGAAAATTTATTGCGTAAAATGTGGGAAAAGTTTTTATTCTTTAACTTTAATATAAGGGTTCAGAGATCTAAATAAAAGGATAATGAGGTATAAAAAACAAACCAAATTTCATGAAGAAATAACGAATCCCGATTCGAGAAATATAACTGATTTATATTAAAACTGTTAGTACTCAGTGGACGCGGAATTTGATGCTCTATAACTTTTATTCTATGAGTTTTTCACTTAGAGAAATCATTCCCAAGCTGCAGCGCCATTTATAGTGATTTGTTTGTTTTTCACGAATTTAGTAAAAATCGGCGTTGGTCGAACGTGGTTAACGAACATACCACTTAACCAAATTATTAAGTTTAGGTACTCGTTTGGCGCACAATTTAACTTTATTTAATTTATGAAATATTTTTCGCTTTGTTGCACCGTTTAGGAATTATAGGTGAAAAAGAAACAAAAAAAAAGATAGACGCCGACACTGTTCAACACGTCGGATCATGTAGAGAGATGACGCATTCAACAGTATCGTCGTCTATCCAACAATCCTCCGATCGGTGCTTGTTGTGGGAAACATGGAATGGACGAACGAAAAAACTACGTCTTTTATTGATGATTACCACAATTCTGCCGAATTATAGAATAATAAAACCGCCGAATACAAAGATATAAGAATTAAAAACGATAAGTTGAAAAAAATATTGAATAAATATAATTATTGCATGGTGATGCAGGTAAAAATAATTGGTTTATTTATAAATCATCTTATATATTATTTCTCAAATATATATATATCCCTTTTCCGGCTCTGAGGAGTGATGGATTTTGAGGAGTATCAATAGAAAGGGAATATCACGTAGAGTGCGCGAATCGTAATTTTTATTCCTAATTTTATACCTGGACTTAAATAAAACTGAATGTAAAAGTGAGAGGTTTCAAACCGTATAAGAGTGCCGTCTCGACGAATCGAGACGTTACAAATGGAGTCATAATTGGGGAATAACTCGGATAGGACACAATTTTTGGCCCATTATTCATATGAGTATTTGAAACCTTACTAAATTACCTATAAAACGTAAAAAAAAATCATCGAAATCGATAACTGTTGTGTCTGATATAAATACTTATAAAGATAGAATAATTACTTATTGATACAACGCACGGGCGGATCTACGGGGGAGGGGGGCTATCGGGCTGAAGCCCCTCCCCCCAAATGGGAAAATATAACCATGTTTTATGGGAAAAAAATTTAAAACATACCTCTTAAAGTATTATTGTTCGTGTAATTACATTTAAAAGTACTTAAGGAATAACTTAAACACCATTTCATATAGGTAGTTAGTTTCTTTCTGTTTTTCCAAAGTAATTATCGTTATTTTTATGAAAAAAAAAAAGGTTTCGGGCTGAAGCCCCCCCAAAAATAAATCCTGGATCCGCTAGTGATACAACATATACTGTCTCAGGAAGAAAAGCATCATTGCACAAAATTTTAAATTTCGAATGAAGAGCAGAAGAGAAAATAGGGTAGATTAAGAAATACTTTTATATCATTTTCTGTTAAATAAGAAAATCTACTAATAAATTTATAATATCCAGGAAAAAGCTTTATTTTACCCTTATATATTTATTCCATGCTTTAATTCATTTAAATGATTCATGTATGGAGCTTTTTTTTATTCTTATATATATATATATATATATATATATATATATATATATATATATATATATATATATACTCCATACATGAATCATTTAAATGAATTAAAGCATGGAATAAATATATAAGGGTAAAATAAAGCTTTTTCCTGGATATTATAAATTTATTAGTAGATTTTCTTATTTAACAGAAAATGATATAAAAGTATTTCTTAATCTACCCTATTTTCTCTTCTGCTCTTCATTCGGAATTTAACATTTTGGGCAATGACTCTTTTCTTCCTGAGACAGTATACATTGTATCAAGAAGTAATTATTCTAGCTAATTTCAAAACATTAGGTTTTGTAAAATTAATTATTAAATTTGTTATATTGCTATAAATATGGAATGTTATATAGTTCATTTTAAATAAAATATTATCTATATATAAGCTATTAGATGTTTATCATTTTAAAAATTTACTTGATTTATTTTAATGACAAAAGGAACATTTCTTTTTTTAATTTTTATTTTCAGTTAATACGGACTGCTAGATCAAAACGTACCTTCCAGAGAACTAAATTCAAAGTATTTAGCCTTCATCACATATTTAGAGGCAATGTTTAGAAGCTTTTGTAAACTTAAGAAAAAATATAATATTATAATTATAAATTCAATGAAACTAGAAAAGGTTAACCTATGGATGGGTATAGATTATTTAATTTATAAACTGATAACTTACTAAATAAAAGTATTAAACCTTTGCATAGAAACATTACTGAATGGAACATACAAATATAAAGTATTCGCACGGATCAGTTAATCATTATTATTCATAATTTAGTGTGTCAAATAGCACACAACAGTGGCGCCACCTATTGGCCATCATGACAGCGCCATCTACTGGCAAGCGGAAGAAGATTAGCAACTAGCCCTGTCGGGTGACCTGAGACCAGAAGGGCCAAAGTACAACAACAGTCTAAGTGCAAGTCTGAGTCTGAGGCTGCCTACAAAATGGTTTCCATGACCAGGCATGTTCATATTAAGTCTGAATTACATGTCTAGCTAGACCAACACATATAAGTGGCATGGATGCCAGCACATGACATGACATTCAAAGAAGTCAGCATGCCAGAACACATTATTCAACTCAGATGACACAGAAGCCAGTCTCTCAATGGAGAATTCAACATCATCATCAACCAGCCAGCATCTTCATTTATCTGGTCAGTCGATATTAATCAATAGTTCACTAACACAATAATCCAAAAGTACATCTTAAACCCCATCAACCTCTGTTTATTTCAATGTATTTTTTTTTTTTATCAATATATATTTTATGTTAATCTCATTTTACTCATTTTCTCATTTCGAATTCCACAAGAACACCCTCTTCTGAACAAGTAATTCGGATCCAGGTTTGATTCCCCCTTACTTCAGGATTAAGGAAGGCCTGATGCCCCAAACACACTAGCGGATCCAGGATTTAATTTTGAGGGGGGAGGGTAGACCGAAACTTTTTTTTTTCATATACATATAACGATAATTAATTAGAAAAAAAAGAAAGAAATTAACTACCTATATGAAATGGTGTTTAGCTGGTTCTTGAAGTCCTATTAAATGTAATTACACGAACAAGAATACTTTAAGAGATAGTTTTGAATATTTTTTTCTGTAAAACATGGTTATATTTTACCATTTTGTGGGGGGGGGGCTTCAGCCCGAAAGCCCCCCTCCTCTCCTCCTTAGATCCGCCTGCGCCCAAACATTCTCATTTTAGGAGCAAGTTTTAGTCCATTACAACTTTTACATGATCAATTAAGTCTAACTTGATTTTTTCCCCACTACTATATTTCTTCATAATGAAATATTAAAAATTAAAATATTAAAGAATAATGTGGTTTTATAATTGCTGAAGCTACTAAAATATAATGCCATTACCACGTATTAAAATCCTAAGAATATACAAATATTTTATCTACTAAAAATCTTTTAATTTTCAATAAAATATTTCTTTAGGGGTACAATATTTACATAAAGAGTGTCACGTGAGAATAGGGAAATTTTTATAGAACCGATAGCAGACATCAAGAGCCACAAGCGGATCCAGGATTTAATTTTGGGAGGGGGGCTTCAGCCCGAAAGCTTTTTTTTTCATAAAAATAACGATAATTACTTTGGAAAAACAGAAAGAAACTAACTATCTATATGAAATGGTGTCTAAGTGATTCCTAAAGTTCATTTAAATGTAATTACACGAACAATAACACTTTAAGAGGTATTTTTAAAAAAAAATTCCCATAAAACATGGTTATATTTTATCATTTTTTTGGGGGGGGGAGAGAGGTCTTCAGCCCGAAAGCCTCCCTCCTCCTTAGATCCGCCCGTGTCAAGAGCTACAAAAAATTTTATACAAACAATGTTCTGACTTTCAGCAGGAAAGTATAAAATTGAAGTTTTGTGTTTTTTAAAAGTAATTTACGTTTTTTGATGAATAGAAAGTGATAACTAAACAATTAGTTAATTTAAGTAGTTAAAAATTATTTCTCTGTAAACTAGACAAAATTTACTTCAAAGGAAAGTAGAATTTCTCCTTGTTAAAACCATTTAAAGACTTTTGAGCGTCTACACTAAGCCAAGCCCGAATTAAAAAAAAAATCATTAATGATTCGCGATTTTTTTTTTCATCATTATCCAACTATACTACAATTACCCCAATTTTAGAAAAACTTACATTTTTCATGTATGCATTATCTGTGGTTTTGACCTCCTTATCAAAAACAAACGTACTGCATTCAAATCGACTTAATCATCGACAAATAAAAATAGAGAGGGCGCGAGAATATTGTTTCCCCTCCCTCCTCCCCCAATATTTCGAAGACGAAAAATAGAATCAATAACAATTAATAAACGTGGATGAATAAAATATCTAAACTAAAATCAATTAAGAAAATAGAAAATGCCACCTAGATGGCTAAGCTAAGGCCTATAAGTAGTTATACAAGTACTCTATCAAACATATGTTCCTATTATTGAAATTTTAGTTTATATTCAAAGATAATTGTATGTATTTATGTAATGTGTTTATATAACATATAAAGATATATGTATATATTTTTTATTATTTCTTAATGATATTTACAACTGTATTAAATAAATACATCTAGTAAATTTGAACATATGGATATATGACATGAAAACACTTGCTGAGTAACTACCCAATGGTAGCACTCTAATGATTTGTCTACATTAGGAGATCACGGGGCCATCTTCTTTTCAGACGCCTCGGAGGGTTATCAGGAATTGAAGAGGAAGCAAGGTTAGAAACGAGAGAGTTGGGTTGGTTCTGAAGTTTATTATGGAAGGATAGGTATCTCGATTGGGCCAGATGTGAAACATAAGAAACATTAAGGTCATTATGGATGATTTTATTTGTAACAGAGTAGGGAGCATTCAGGATTTTACGAAGGATTTTGAATTTTAAAGATTGGATACGAGCACGGGCGGGGGGAAGGGCTTTCGGGCTGAAGCCCTCCCCAAAATGGGAAAATATATCCATGTTTTTTCGAAAAAAATTAAAAAAAATTATCTCTCAAAGTATTATTGTTCGTGTAATTACATTTAAAAGGGCTTTAGGAATCACTTAAACACCATTTCATATAGGTAGTTAGTCTCTGTTTTTTTTCCAAAGTAATTATCGTTAGTTTTATGAAAAAAAAGCTTTCGGGCTGAAGCCCTTCCCCCAAAAATTAAATCCTGGATCCTTTAGTGGATACGAGAGGAATTCGATGGTTTAGTGGAACCCCATAGCTCAACTCCGTAAGTCCAAATAGGTCTTATTATTGTCATGTATATGAGTCTTTTGTAATTGACTGGGATCTTAGAGCGGGTATAAATATTAGACAGAAACATAAATATTTGACTTTTAAAATAATGGGCAAGTTCCTAAACTAAGCGCTAAGCTCACTAATGGGCATCAGGCCGTTTCTAAACTCGTCGATGTATCGATGGATGAATGCAGAGCATTCATCGATTGAATCACTGGCGTTTGGGATCGTTAGATACGCTAAATGTACTCTCATTGTAACGTCAGTATTGTTATTTCTGAATTTACTTTATATTCAGTTTACTTCCTATCTATATTTATTTCTAATGATGTAAAGATGGTTGACCGTTGATATAATATGAGAAGGAGTTAGTCGGGGGTGCGATTGTGATAAAAGATAAGGAATGAGTGTATAACATTATACACTAATAAAGATTACATTTGAGAATTGTAGGTTAACAAATAAAGAAAATGAATGTAAACGAATAAAGAGATTGAAAAATAAACAAGTATTGATATAGTAAAGCTAAAATAAGAATAAGATAACATAATAATAAGTTATCAGTGGGTAACAAGCTAGTGGAGGTTTCATTTGATAACTGCAGGTAAACAGATAACGGGACAATGTATCAAATGCAACCTCCACTAGCTTGTTATCCAACTCATTCCTTATCTCTTACCGCTATCTGTTTACGTTTAACTTACATGCTGTATTCTCCATTGTTTTCTATTTTTATTCATACTTATTTGCTATTTTTGTTTGTATCTTATATATATACTTGATATTTTAACAACATTGTCACCCACAATATCTCTGGTATCATCTTTTTATTTCTTTATCAGACAACTTTTTCTTATTTAATATGTACTTATTATTTATTTATTTTATTCTCAACATGTTTTGTATCTTTTGTAGCCCTGAAGACGACCTGCAAAGTGGGTCGAAACGTCGGCAAAATTAAAATAAAATAATTACTATATTTTAATTTAGTATTTATCTGACCGCACCCCCGACTAACTCCTTCTCATATATTAATTTCTGTTTTGAAACTCGAAAATTCAGCAAGTAAATATTTCCTATTATATTTATTACTAGTTGGCCCGTGCGAATAATTCGCAGATAATTTTGTTAAGTGAAGAAATAGCAAAACAATATGGAAATAAGTAGATCCTATGTATTATGTGAGGAAGGAATTAATATTTTTTCCTTAGTCTATTACAATATTCCATTAAACATAATAGACCAAAATATTTGTACAAATTGCTTTGTTAGGATCTATTTTTAAACGCTGACTGGAAAGATAATAAAAGTAATAAAGACAAAATAATGCCCCGATCATAGGATATTCTAAATTATAAAAAAAATAAATAAAATGTAAGAACAACCAAGTGTCATTAAGAAATAATAAAATTAATATATCAGAAATTATTAATATAGCTAAGACATTATTAAGTATATCAAAACTAACGGACTATATCTTTGTTAATAATTGTCCGAATCGTACGATTTTTTTTTTGTTTTGTCGGTAATTTAGTAAAGAAAAGATGCATACATTTTGAGTTATTCCTAAATAAAGTTTATTTTTCCTCATAACTTTTTTCCAGCAATTTCAGGGGAATAGGATTATTTTTTGCATGTGAAGGAGAAGAATATCTTCAAAATCAGTGGTCAATCATTGGATTTGATGAAGAATTGACGAAGTTATGGCGTACCGACAAAAAAACACCTTTTCGAAATAATATATAGGATAGAAGAGCCGTGCTGAGATAGTCGTCATGGCAACGACTTCACTTTTCGTTATGATGTTTTTACCTGCCGTTAACTAAAACCTTCATAACTCCTCAGGATTTAATCCTAATTCAATGTTTCTACAACCGTTGGAAAGCTGAATTATCGCTCTTCAAGACCGTATAAATAACTTTTTGATTTAACACCTCTATAAAGAGTAAAACAATAAAAACTAACAGATTTTTATTTTATAATTTGGGTTATAAATTATTTAGGGGAGGTCATTTCGTGTTGTTTATAAGGCCCTATATCCCCTTCAAAATTTCGTGTGAAGGATATAGGTGGAAGGATATTGAAGTCACCACAATTTTTGTGACTTTCGGAAAAAAATCAAAGAGGGGTAGTGTCTTATTTCAAATTTGAAGAAACAATTGTTTATTTTTCGATCGCAATGAAAATTCGTATTCAAAGGTCTTTCGAGCTGCGAAATACAAATATAAACTTTTTTTCTATTTTAAAAAACATGTCAACACACTTTACTCATTCCGTCAATACAAATTGTTTAAATTATACATATTTCTAATCGATTTTTTTAATATTTTGTTTTGTAGGTAAATTAGTATGCTTTATAATTATCATGGGTACAATCCAGAAAAAAATGCATACTTCTTGAATTATTCGCAAATAAAGTTTCTTTTCCTTCATAACTTTTTCCCCCAGCAATTTCGAGGGTATAGGACTATTTTTCGCATGTGAAGGAGAAGAATATCTTCAAAATGAGTGGTCAATCATTGGATTTGATGAAGAATTTACGAAGTTATGGCGTACCGACAAAAAAACATCTTTTAGAAATAATACATAAGATTATTAATGTGTATTGTAAATTACAGAAGTTTAAACTTTCCTCTGGAATCCAGTATTTCGTTCCATCGATTAATCGATTGCTTCAATGGAATAAGCCCGATCGATTTATACATGGGATGCATTGATAAGAATGCATATACATTTTTAATTTGTCTAGTTAAAGATCTTATTGTAAAAATTAAAAGAAAATATTATATGTAGGAAATAATTATAAACAATTGAAATGCAGCTTTGGCAACAAAAGTATGTTTAGAGATATGTAGGTGTGTTTGTTATTGTGTTGACGTATCTCGTTGAAAGCTGTCACTGATATTACTTCAAGTTAGGTTTCTAATTTTTCAAAATTATTTTTTTTACTTAAATCATTCAATATAACTGATTGTTTGATTTTTAATTTTTGTTTAGTTCACGTTTCATCAAACCTGTTTAAGAGTTGAGGTTTAGTGTATTGGTTATAATAATTTTGGAAAGACTTCGAAATGTCAACGGTTCCCTTAATATTAGAAGATGTAGAAATGGGTGGGAAAGAAGATGATGGAATTGAGGATGATTTTGCTTATAGAAATAATGTGATGCATGCAAGTGTTAAAATTAGATTGGGTAAGGTGTAGTGTGTAAATCATGATGTTTTTCCACACTGATGAGTGTCATAATGTTAATACATTTATGTTTCCTCAGGTTTCATAAGGAAAGTTTACTCTTTGGTTTTTATGCAGCTACTCGTAACTACTATCATTGGTTTCACCTTGATGTTTTGGCAGAATGGTCGCTCATTCGTACATGAAAAGTTTGTTTGATTAACCTTATCGAAGACTCGGTGTACTTTAAATTTAATTTTTGTATAGCTATATGTTTTTATTTCAGCGATTGGTTACTTATGGTAGCTTTTTTTGGAAGCATGGTTACATTGATTGCATTACACATAAAACGTAAAGACACACCAACAAATTATATACTTTTGTCAATATTTGTGAGTATTATTTTACTTCTATTTTTAGTATTTATCATTTGATTCATTACGGAGTAGTAATTATTCATATTTTTTCAGACTGTAGTTCAAGCCTACAGTGTTGGTGTCGTAGTGACATTTTTTGAAGGTATTGTAGTTCTACAAGCATTACTTCTGACAGTTACAGTTCTTGGTGGATTGACTTTGTACACATTCCAGACAAAAAGGGACTTCTCTTCTCTTGGCGTATTGTAATTATCTTCATTATTGTTTTAATATGTTTTAGATATCACATAAATATTCCATACTATTGCCTTTAATCATTCGGAATTTGCAAATCCAAAGATACTTCCGTAAAGTAGGTCTAATAAATTTTTGTAATAAAAATCAAGTCAGATTACATTTTAAGCGCCCTTTAAAATCCTCTAATACAAATTTAGTACTTTTTTACAACTGTTACTCCACTTTCATGAGTGGCCTCAATATCTCATGATCATATTTTAAATGAAATTCCGAGAATGATCCAGTATTGACAATCTGTTCACAGGTACTAGGTTATTATAAAAGTCCTTGTGCATAAATATAACTTTATTTCATATTTAAAACATTATTGAATATTACTCTTCTAAGTAAAGTCCATTGTTTTCAACTATCTTTCTACCAGTAATTGGATTAGTTGCCGCTACAACTACTTTGGTTTTGAGGCTATGAACTGTTCACATCCAATTTTTATGTCCTTGTAATTATTACAGATCTAAACAAACCATAATCTGATGGTGCAATATCTAGGCTTTACGCAGGATGAGACGAAATGTTTACTGCTTGCAGTTCCGGTAACTTTTTCTTAGTTAAACGAGAACAATGAGGCATTGTCGTGTTGTAAAATAACTTGGTTCTTGTTAACCAAAGGCGGGATACTTTGCACTCAAAACTACATAAATTCTGTCTAGATGTTCGCAGTAAAGTAAAAAAATGAGTGTCCACTACCCGGCCATAAGGAACAATTTCAAAATACAAAATGCCTTCCAGAAAATACAAGTCATAACTTTTTTTCTAATGGATCTTGGCAAACCTCTAGCTTCGCCTGGTCATAACCACTGCCTACGTTTGTAAGGGTTTTTAAAAATATCAACTTTTCTTCACTTGTGATAATTCATATCATCTTTCCGATTTGGAAGCTTAAGTTGCAAATATCAACTCACTGCTGGGTTTGGACCTTGGTCAAGACATATGGGTCGATCCTTGGTCTTAAATTATGCATGCCCAGGTTTTTAAGGTGACGAGCCACTGTGTCATCAGAAATCTCTTCTACAGACAATAAATCACGAGTAGTTGCATGTGAGGCCTGGTTGATACATTCAAGAAGAACATCATCATCAATGACCAATGGGCTATCTAGATTTATTTGCAAGGCCCTTATTCCCATTGTTGATAAGACTGAACCAAAGTGCGACAGTATTTCAATGGATAGTTGATTCTTCTATGGCACAAATTTCTTCAGCAGTTGCTTTTGCCTTTTTTACAGTTATTTCTGAAAAGACTATGAATCATGATTTTTCCTCTGGGATTGCATGTGCGTTTTAATAATGTAAATGATCTCACTAAGCGAACTCAAGTCACAAGAAATTAAAGGATTTGTCAAAGTATAGGATTAATTTTGAGGGTTGGAATTAAGGGTTCATGCACAAGAACTTTTGTAACAGCCTAATATAACCTCTCTTTATTTAGGTCAGGTTTTAGGACTTCTTGAAACTCCTAACTGGTATTTTTAGATAAATTTGGAGCCTTAATCACACTCAAAAGAGATAAACAAATTTGCAATGGGTCCTTTCAGTTGAAGCCAGGCTTTATCAGACAGTTCGGTCAGCTCAGTCTACTTTCAGGCATACATGACGCCGATCTTAAAATAACATTTATAGTGTGATCATGAGATCTTCTTGTGCTCAACCATCAAACTGGAACAACGCTTTTAAAGTAGAACCACAAATTTTTATGAAAATTATAAAATTAATTTTTGGGCTTGATTGTTCTTGAAATTTTTTTCTTACTATGTATGAAAACATTCAATGAAACCTATTTATGAAAACAAATATCCTCAGGATTTTCTGTAAATTCAAGATTACTATAACCAAAGCGTAGTTATTGTTATTCCAAATTATATCAATAACTTATAGATTTTATGCCGAAATAAGCGAGAAAGAAGAAATACTTCTCAAGTGTTTTTTTTTTATATCTCCAGATTTAGTTATTTTACTGTTTTCAGTTTCATGCCATTTTTGGTGATTTATAGGGTTTTAAACTCCCAAGTTTTGTGTGGATTCGTTTTTAAGTTATCTAATTTATGTGGTTTTGGGGAGGAAAACAAAAAAAATTGGAGGTCCTGAGATAGCATAAAATTGATGGAAAATATTTTTATTTTTTGATTTTAAATAAATTAAAATTTTCTTTTTAAAGATTGAAATTGCAGTTATAGTCTGTGGTGCAGACCCCTTTTTATCGAATTATTAACATCGACCTGAAACTTTGTAAATAGTTTCATATCATCGTAACCTACAATTATTTTATTTACGAAAAGTATTGGATTTGGGGAGTGATCAATCTGGAGGGGCGCAAACTTTGTCTATTTAATTAGGTACTAAAAATTCGTAAAAATGCATTTGGTTTTGATCTCAAAATCAAGAAAAAAGGTGGTCTACAAAAATATTGGGACGTTTTTCATACATAACCTCGCTATTTAGAAAATATAGGGGTGTAGATCAAGTCAAACGGCTCAATATTTTTTACAGCCACCTTTTTTCTCGATCCAAGTAGAAAGCAAATATGTATTTACGAGTTTTTAGTACCTAATTAAATAGACAAAGTTTGCCCCCCTCCAGATTGAAAGGGCCCCAATTCCAAGAGTTTTTGTAAATAATATGTAGGTTATGATGAGATGAAAATACTTACAGTTTCAGGCAGATATTAATAATTCGACAAAAATATATAAGAATCCTAAACATTTTCTGTTTAATAATTTGTCATAACATTTTCTAATGATTAATAAAACAATTTATTTGTTTCTTTTCCAGTCTTTTTGCGGGACTGTGCGTTTTATTAGTAGCAGGAATTATTCGTATATTTTTTATTAACACTGTTTTTGAGATTATCATCTCTGTGTTTGGTGCTCTTCTATTTTCACTCTTCATCGTCTATGACACACAGGTAATTAAGTTTATGTGGAACAATTTTATAATATATGACCTCTAATCTGAGTTTCAGTTTTCTGAATTTTAAGTTTAGAAATGCATACTATAATTAAAATCCTGTGTTATTTAAGTAATTTTTTTTTTCTATTTGTTTAAATGACTTTAATATTTTTGAAGTGTCTTATTTGTATTTCATACTTAATTTAGTACCAAGCAGTTTTACTTAATCGGTTCTCAGTCATCTACGTACCAGTGTGCCCAAATCATGTGTTACTTTTTGAAAACCTTCTTTTTTATTTTTTTAACATTGCAGTTCAGAACTTAAAATTGGCACTATCCCGTTTAGGATCTCAGTCAGAAGTTGTTCAAGATCATGTCAGCCCGATGACATGGTTTGATTTCCTGTCTATTTTCTTTTATTATGTAGGATTCACTAAACTTGTTATCTGAATTAATATAAATCATTAATTTATAGTTTCTGTATATTGTTTTTGAAAAAAGGTGTTTGAGTGATATAAACATACAGTCGAGCATTAATTTAATTGGATTTTAATAAACTGGCCTGTTAATTATACTGTTTAATCTTGCTTCATCTCAATGTGTTTTTTTTTCTTCAAAGTTTGGATTGGTTTAGAAAAATATTCCACGAGTTAAAATATTAAACCAGAATTTCATAAGTCTTTATTTTCCTTTGATAGCATTTCTAATGTCGATGAGCCTCTATCCTGTGCAGCCACTTCTGGTTCCTTAACCGATTTCTGTTGTTGAGGGATTTACCTCTTCTACTTCCCATCCTATGTATGAATTCCTGGTATGAAACTCTGGGACGCCCTCATGGTCTCCTCCCAAAGGTTCAAAACTCTAATACCTTTATAGGATTCATTTCTTCGTTCGTAGATATAAAATACACTCCTTCGATTTAACAATTTACATGTTTATGACTTCTTTGTCATCAATTTTAATATGTTAGTACTAATTTAGAAATCTCTGCTGATTAATAGAGTGTGTGCCCTACTGTGTCCTAAAAGTTGCCTCTCAGAAAAGGTTGAGGACGATTTTCGGAGATATTTAAATTTGGGAAAGTTGTTAATAATTTATGTTTTTATTTATTTGTTTATTTTTTTTTTTTTAATATTTATGTATTAAAGTATTACTTACTTATTACTTATATTGTGAATGTATGTCGAGTGCTATCTTGGAGCGCAAATCCCTTCTCTACTATCTAACACTCCGAGGCACCAATGTGGTCCTTCAGTGGATTCCGAGCCATTGCGGTATTCCAGGAAATGAGGAAGCGGATAGTCTCGCCAGGAGGGGAGCAGAATTGCCACAAACAGTCCATCCAAAATCCTACGATTCAATTCGGCGAATGGTGAGGATGATAGTGAAGGAGGAAACAAAAAATATGCACAAAGACAAGGTGGAAGGGAGACGTTATGGATGTTTGATGGAAAACCCGATCCCAGCAGACCTACCAAGAAGAGATGCATTAGCCTGCTTCTGCCTGGCCACTGGTCACGACTATCTACAAAGTCATCTGCACAAGATAGGCGTGGCTGAGGATCCTAGATGTAAATTATGTGAACAAGCGGAAATGGATGCGATTATGAGCGATGGATGAGACCACCTAAACGAATGTCCTGCTTTGACGGATATAAAGAATTAAACATATGTAAATGATTACATACAAAAATCAAAATTATATTGGGCAGCAAGATATCGGATGGTCGAATCACCAATGACTATGGCATAGGAAAAAAAAAAAAAACTTATATTGTGAATGGGTTATTACTTCCGTAGTTTTTAAAATTACTTTATATATATAGTGTATATTTTATGTATGTTTTTATGTATTTATATTTTTTCTTTTATATATTTTATCCACCTAGCTGCCATTTGTATGTAAATGCAGTGCACCTTACGATGGTGAAGGTTTATTATGTTACAAAATGTTTGAACTATGTATGAACTACCAAATAAACTATATACTAAAAGATATCTCTCAGAAAAAGGTTGGGGACTTACGATTTTTGGAAATCTTCAAATTTAGGAAACTTGTTAATAATTTTTAACATACCCAATAAACCCATTTTAAGGGTTGTAACCACAAATAGATTTTGGAAAAGGTTGAATGTTCCGCAAAATAATTTTCAGTTATTTTTATCATGTTTTTGTACAAGGTTTTTTCAAAGGTTGGGGAAAATCTAATATTTTTTTTTGTAAGACTTTTCAGTGTTTAAATGGGATGCACCATTTTTTTTTTTTTTTCAGTTTTATTTATCATTCTGAATGTAAAAGTTTAGAAAACAATTTTATTTTCATGTACTGTGATTATAAATTTCCATTATAACGCTGAATTTAAGTATCTGATACAGATAAGTATAAGTAAATAAATCAATCCACTGCCTTCTGGAAATCCTTGCCATCTATCTGCTATGCCTCTTCTTTGTCCTCATTCAAATATGATCTATACCAATTTCTTCTCACATCCCAAAATGACGTACAATAAAATAAATATTATGAATCAAATTTTGACTGAGGTGAATGGTCGTTGAAATTGTTTGAGTTTTAATTTTAAGAATCAACACATAGTGGTTATAACATTTTGTTTTTTATTTTACCTAATTTCTGTTTTTCTTTTCATTTAAATAATGTTTGTTTTTTCAAAATGGTGTTTTTTTTTTTATTTGCTTTAGTATACTGTCACTGAAGATATTGTATATATTCTTTAATTTTGATTAATGTAATTTTTGGCCAGATGTGGTTTTTATTGTTTGTTTATAATTGTTATTCTTTAGGGACCTTGTCCCAGAGTTTATTTTTTATTCTATCTTTAAGTTTGATAATTTTGCTTTTTATAATTTAATCCTGTGTTTAATGTTTTCAGAATATCATGCAAAGAGTTTCTCCTGAAGAGTATATTATTGCTACAATTGAGTTGTATCTGGACATTTTAAATTTGTTTTTATATATCTTAAGAGCTCTTGATGCTACCAGAAGGGGCTAAGATTATGACGACAACATTTCTGTTGTATTTTCCTTCTATTGTGATTAAATTATTACAGTATCCAGTCCTTTTAATAATTTTTATGCTAGGATCGATTCTTGCACTAGGTATTCACTATGGTTGACGATTCCTAATTCGATACTTAATAATAATAAAATATAGTAATTCATTACTATATTATTGAATGTATTATTACTTTATGCACTATAATACTGTTAATTTGTACATATTAAGTATGTAAATGTTTTTTTAAGTTTATTATATTTTATCGGATTAAAGCATATTTGCTTTTATGTTTCACTGATTTGTATTTATTTCTATTGTTTTTGTTCCCTATCCCTACTTTCCTGCTTAAAATATTTCATGAATAAAAGGAACAAAATAAAACGTGTAATTAAAATTTTGAAAGTGCACCTTGTAATTGTAAAATTGTATGAGACCATGATAATAATAGCTGATTGATTCCCTAAGATTCTAACTAACTCCAAATATGCGGCATTTGTTACAGAAAATTAAAAATTAAGTTAAAAAAAAAACAACTATATGACTTCGATTGTGGTGGTAACCGCTGTGCTAAACACGAACTGATACAAGATTTGCTTCAGGGGTGATGAGGTCTCTATAATTATTTTGCGGAGTATTTGCTACTCCTTCTGAAACAAGTTATGATAAGGTAAATGCATGGTACCTTGTTTTCATAACATCTAGTGTCTTTCCTACCCCATACTACCAATGTTGCGCCACATATTGCAAGACAAAACATTTGATATCATTGCAGCAATGCTATCTTTCAATTGACCTACTTCAACTGCAACGATAAATTTTTTTTAGCCATTATAGGCTATTCTTTATATTGCTATGGAGCTGAAATTATCCCAAAAAATATTATTGTTCCTATTAAAGCTCTTCAAGGACTACTTAAACATTTTATATAGCTTTCTTTTTCTCTTTGAGTAATTACTAATTACCACTATGTTAAGTACCAAAAGTCCCCTGAATATAATCCTAAATCCGCTACTAATGAGAATAGTTTCATTAGTCAGAACGTTATTAGAACAATCATAGGCAAATAAAAAAGTCCTTTTAATCTATATTAGATAAATAATGTCACATACTCATATTATAATACTGTAGCTATTTATAAATATTCATTTTGTTTATAATTTAAAGAGTGCATTTCTGCGGAAAGAATAAGTTCACATCTGTTCAACAAAGATTAGACAAAAACAGTAGTAAACATCTCCCTCCACTAAAAATTCATGCCATAACTTTACAAATCAACACCCATGGTTTCATTATTAGGACAATTATATAGAACAATTGTACCCTTCTCAGTTCTTTGCATCCTTTTGTAAGTTTTGAATAAACAGAAATTTTCCTAAAAGTGAATTATATTTTATTAATTAATTATGTCAGTAATTAATTAGTAAATATGAATTAGTATAACAGTACAGAAGTGAAACATATGTTAACGATGTTCAATTAAGGTAAGTTTGTGTTGAGCTATGGGTGGATTTGATTTTAAATTTACTTTAATTTAATTTTACTAATTTAATTTATATAGTAGCGCTCTCGCTCAAACTCCATCGGCTTTAGCACCAGTAAGGTGGTTGAGAGAATAGTGCAGGGATTTGGGTTCCCCGCCTGATTGTATATATTGTATATAGGTATGACTGTATTTTTATGTTTTTAATTTACTCATATTTAGGTTTTTTTATTTTTTTATTGTATATAGTTTTTATTTATTATTATTTAGTTATTATTTTACTTTTGTTAATTTTGTTTCTTTTTTGTATATACGGTGTGAATGTGTTCATTTATCAATATAATTATTGTCCCTGTGACAGAATATTATATGTCTAAATAAAAAAAAATAAAAAAAATTATATAGACACTTAATAGGAGACTTATCAGTCTTAGGAACATTAATAAGTTAATTTACATTAATTTAGAATTGTTTTAGGGTTATTATAAACACTTTACTTAAGTAATGATGTAATGATGAGTAAATTTGTCAAAATTGTGTTATATTTTAGCTTTATTATTCTGCTCTGAGTCCGGGCTCACTAACAGCTGCCCTCTATTTGTTTCTGTGATTCTTAAGTCCTGATTATGTTGTAATAAATTAAAAGGCAATAGGCCATCAAAATCTCAGCATTACTTTATAACTATCTCTTGCTCACCACTTCCATCAGATAGTTTTTACTTTCATGCAAATATATATTTACTATGACTACCTGACATTCGTTGCAATGCTAAAAAAAAATAAAGTGATGTTTCTTTAACTCTGCCGGCGCTAGTACTAATGGATACGAAATATTCTTTTCTTTCTATGTGGTATAATTATAATTACATATGCAATAAATAAGCAATTAATGCTTAAAAGAAAAATTTTATTTTTATTTTTTTAATATATCTTTATATAGCTTGATTGTTGTTATTTCCCTGTTGGGGGAAACCTAAATTTTGCTGTTCCCCCAATAATCACTTTATATCAGTATTATAGGCAACCTATTTCGAAATAAACATCATCAGATGTAATTAGCTTGTATTAATAACTGAATTAAGGTCTAACAGTACAAACAAAATATTTTTACTTAAGATAAAAAAAGAAACAAAGATTTATTAAAATTTGGTTCCCTATAAACTCTGCCGCTCTGGAAAACTGCTTCCTTGCCCCTCTCTAGTTCTTGATCCTCTACTAGTTGTAAATTTAATTTTAGTAGCTGAAGTTTTTCAAAAATTTAATTGCTCGTCATACAAAGAGATGAACCATCAACATAATTTTGTTTTCGTTTGGGTTTAAATGCAGCTGATTCCCTTTCACCTTTCCTATTTAATTTAGCACTAGAAAATGGCATTAGAGAGTGGCATGCAAACTGAAAAAGCTTTGTGTACTGAACACAGAATAAAAAGTAAATACCATAATGCTCATAAAAGTTGGTAAAGAACTGAGGCTCGAAATAAATACAGATAACACAACATGATTAACTGCAGAAATATTTAAGGGAATAAGTTTGAACAGGCCACAGGCAGATCTAGGGAAGGGGGAGATGGAAGGCTTTTGGGCTGAAGGCCCCTCTCCCAAAATTGTAAAATATAAACATGTCTTATTAAAAAAGTATCTCCAAATGTATTATTGTTCGTGTAATTACATTTAATAGGACTTCAAGAATCACTTGAATACCATTTCATAAAAAAATTATTTATTTTTATGAAATGGTATTCAAGTGACTTTTATATATATATATACATATATATATATATATATATATATATACATATATATATATATATATATATATATATATATATATATATATATAAAAGTTTTCGGGCTGAAGCCTCCAAAATTAAATCCTGGATTAGCTAGTGGAACGCGTGAATAAATTTAGTTATTACGAAATACGACAACTTGAAAAAACTATAAATACAGAGAAAAAGAAGGCTATGCCAAAGGTTGGAAATGGCAGTTATTTTTAGGTTTCAAAATTACTTATTTCGCACCTTCTATCTATAATTTAAAAATTGACCAAAATATAATACTTTCTACGGTTCTTATGAAGCGAAACATGGCCACTTATATTAAGAGATGAACCAAATTTTTATATTTTTGAAAATATAGTATTGTGCTAAATATTTGGACCGAAAGACGAGATTACCGTAGAAATTGGACTCCTACACAACCCCCAATTGTATGTACCCGACACGGGCAGATCTACGGGAGGGGGGGGGCTTTCGGGTTAAAGCCACCCCCCAAAAGGGTAAAACATAACCATGTTTTATGGAAAAAAAAAAATAAAAATACCCCTTAAAGTATTATTGTTCGTGTAATTACATTTAAAAGGAATTAAGGGATCACTTAAACACCATTTCATATAGGTAGTTAGTTTCTTTCCGTTTTTTTAAAAAGTAATTATCGTTATTTTTATGATAAAAAAAGCTTCCGGGCTGAAGCCCCCCCCCAAAAAAAATTAAATCCTGGACCCGCTAGTGGTACCCGATCAATATAGTTGAGATGCTAAATTTGCGCCTATCCAATCTACCAATGGCTATATGAGTAATGTGCTCTGGGACGACTGGTTAGTGTTTGAATAGTCACCGAAACAAAGGTGGTGTTAAGGGTGATCTGGTGGCATTAAGTTTGGACGGCGACAGATGTATGTATGCAGCGGCCGGCATCGAACCTTCGGGTTCGCTAAGAGTTATCATCTCTACTTCTCTATTTAAACACGGGACATTAGGCTATTAACAGATTTGGGATGGAGTAGAGGGGGAGTGGGGCAAAACTGCAATCGACACCGACATCTTACTCGTTTTAATTTGAAGAAATTATTTTACAAATATTCTGCCTCTCACAATGTAGCAAGACTTTAAATAGGTTGAGTTGCACCTTTCATTTTATCTTCTCCACTTCAGTTGGTATCAAGCAACAATCTTATAATTTCCTTCATACATCTCCGAACTTATTTAATCCAAATCCTCTGTTTACTCCCGTTCTCGGTCTTCGGATTTGTACATAAGAGCCCGCCGAACCGCTGCCTTCGATAGATCTTTCTCGATTTGCGGCTAATCCGTTTGGTTCATCCTAAAAATGTATACGACAACATTTGTTAGGCTTGGGACGTTGAATTGAATGACACCTTGAACGAGAAGATCAGACTAAGTTGAAAAATTAGTGTGTTTTAAGCGACAACGCGTTACATATGTTCGGGATTTCAGATTTTTCCCGTTGAGTTGCGATAATTTTTTTAATCAGGTGAATAGTACAACTTTTAAATGTGGCTGCGGTGGAGTAGGTTGGGACGGGAATCGAAGTAACTGCCTAACCGTGATCTCTAGACAAATTACTCAAGAATTCATAACTTTGGTTATACTCAATATTTTGTTTTCACTTAAAACCTATTTTTTAAGTCAAGCAAACATGAATATAATGTCAATATTTCAAAAGTCTACCATTAGCCATTGCTGAGCTTAACCCTGATAAAATTTTGTTGGACAATGCGGACATACAGACAGAAATTTTTTTTAAATTGGTTTTGTTGCCTGTAATGTATGAAACAGAAAGATGTCATTAACCGGGTTGATTCTATTCAATTTACAAACAAAAATTTTATTTTATTTATATAGATATCCAGGAAGCACGTGGTTTATAACAATCGGACGCCATCAGAATCACTCCCACTTCATCAGGATTGTTGGAAACCTTTTGCAGATGTCTCTATACTGTTGTTGTTTTTTACGGGATAGTGACTTATAATGACCAAGTTGCGTAATTTCAAACTAAGAACAACACTTGATAAAGAAATA